GGCCACACTTTTACTTGGGGCCCCCCCCTCCGCCCCCGGGGGGGGGGGGGGGACACGAATCTCACTGGCCTCCCAACCCACCCGGCGGTCTCTGGACCAGAGGAGCATAAACTCTAATGCCCGCCCCGCAGTCTCACACTATTATTATACATTTATATAATGCTGACATATACCACAGTGCTGTACAGAGAACACTGAGCCAGTCACATCAGTCTTACACTTTAATGCAGAATGGCACCGGCTGTAGGGGTACTGCAAATCCCAGCAATACATTATACAGCAATGCAGAACAATATGTGAATTGGACTCTGGACTTTGTAACGCACTGGACCCAGGACTTAGTAACGCACTGGACATCTGAGACCCCGCACATACCAGAGACCCTGCACAGTGGTCTAATTGGGGTCCTTTTCACTGCACACGCAGCTCCCCTTACCTTACACCACACTGGAGCTGCTGTGCTCACCATTTGCAAGTGAAATTCAAAATACAGAGCCAGGGCGGTGCTGCCGTGTACGTGCTCCAAAACGAATTTCGGAACGAACCGAATCGCACATGTCTACGTGCTATGGTTAGTACACCAGCACCAGCAGAGGGGAAAGAGAGTTCGCCCAAAGGTAAGTATAGCGGGGAAGGGGAGATTAGAGGGGGTAGTTCCATTTTTCCAAATTCACCTGGGAAAGTGGAATTACCCTTTAACCTACAAAAAAATTTTGGTAGGCTAACTGCCATCCTATAAAAATTGCCTGGGGTGCATAAGCACCATAGGGACCAGAATTGTATGTACTTGGTAAATCATGCTATGTACTATGCAGTTAGTACAGGAAACAAATAATAATTATGTTTATATAACTTAAAATTACTTACACCTTCTGGTGGTCAGTGACTCGATTTATCAGAACATTAATCTGCAAGAAGAAAAAAGATTTGTTTGGATAATAACAGACACTACAACATTTAGTAAGTACGTATTAGTCAAACGCTCCTAGATTTTACTAGGTCTTTAGGTTATAACATATACAGTGAACTTACCTCATACTTCTGCCTTTTGAAATTTTCTTGAAAGTCAAATTTCTCAGCCTCCAGTTGATATATCCGGTCAAACAGAGACTGAGCTTCTGCCCTATATAAGAAAATGAGAACATAATGTATACTTGAGCCTGTGTTGGTGGGTGGTAATGAGTGAATTATCATTATTCTGTGCAAATACATTATTATACTGTATCAAATATGCTGACACATGTATATTAAATATGTTGACAATTACATTTTATAAACACGTCATACTAAATACATTGTGATACAGGAAGTGTACCCTGTGTGTATGTGTATTGTTTTCGATCAGTTTTCTAGCAGTGTAGACAGCTAATGTGCAATCAGTGTTACTTTTGATGGGTTAAATCACACTTAAATAACTTTTTATTCTTCAATGTTCCAGAAAAATGCACACCACAGCGCTCAGCAGACTCCCAATGATATTCTCCACCAACAATCGTTTGTAGGCTGCCGTCATCAAAAGACAACTGGGAAGAATTCCTCACAAAACATGCAAAACAAACAGACAGCGCCTTGTCCTCGTGTAATACCGCTTATTAATCAATGAACATACAAGCTGACATAAAATACTACTCGCATGGTAATCCATTCATGCAGTGAGTGGAGGTGCTGTCTGTTTGTTTGTTTGGCAACTTTTTATTCTTTATTAAGCAGTCACATGACCGCCACACAGCCAACTGTAGGTCTGGCCAGGGCTAAGGGCTGGAGAAAGCCAAAGCACATCCTGGGAACTGGTGATGTCACTGTCAGCTTTAGAACTTCAAGTCCCAGGTTCGCTTTCCCACTGGTGATGTCACTGTCAGCTTTAGAACTTCAAGTCCCAGGTTCCATTTCCCACTGTTTGCAGTACCTTGCAGACATGCTGAGCATCAGCATGGTGTCTTCTAGTCCCAAGGAGTGTGCAAGGTATGATGACACTGCTACCACAGCCTGTGGTTAGCGTTGTCAGCTTATTTCAGGAAGGCCACAAAGACTGTTGTCTTTCTCAACATTTTAACATATAAAAAGGCAGCTATTTACAAAAATTGACTATCGGGGTTAACATAAACTTTAATTATGACTTAATGGCCTTTTTTGCTCTCAAACCAAATTATTACATCACAGAGAACTCAAAGTATACTAGATCAGATGTATACATCTATAACTCATAATCTGTGTTTATAGAACTGCATGAATTAATGTACCACTACATGCCTGGGTCACTGCAGAATTTCAATACATCAGCATATAATTGTTATAATTATATAATATAATTATAATATAAAATTATAATTGTAGCTGCCCTCCTCCTCACAGTTGAGCTACTAGGTTTCGTTCCATACACATGCCAATCTTGGCCTTTTGTAATACGTCTCAATATTGCATTTCAAAAGCATTGAAATGGAGCAAGTGTAGAAACTATTATTTCTACTTCCTGTTAGTAGAAATATGTAACTTCCCTGTTGCACTCACCTAGCTTCATTAGTCTCGTGCATTGGAGATCATAAAGAAATGCATTTGCTTAGTTAAGTAATGTGTCCTTTTCTGCATATTAACACCAGCATTTATACAATTAAAGTCTTATGGTAGAATCAAGATTATCTTTACACCCATAAGCCCTAGTAGTGCAATGTTCTCATCCTATCTACAATACAGTTTTCTCCTGTAAGTATAGGGCACTTCTCTCATTTGCAAGTGGTGTCACCACAGCAAAAGAAGATCCACAAATCACCATCAGTGGTGCAGTACGAGGTCAAGTTAAAATACAGGGGCCAGGCAGTGACTTCACTTGTGTTGCTGTGACACAAATTAGCATGTCTTGTGGGAGAAATCAATGTCTTTCTCTTATGGAAACATCAAAAGTTACATTTTTGTGTAATATGTTGATAGTTTGGAAGTATATCTACTTACTTCAGTTTTTCTTGATTCATATTCTCAATGTTAAGAGGTTGTCTTCTCTCAGTTAAAATCTTTTTTTTCTTTTCCCTCTCTGTCTGTTTTTTCCCTCCTCTTCTTTCTGTCTGAAAGATCAAAACATATACAACATATCTGAAATTTGGCCTCCAGTGTCCTTTCCACATATCTAGTCTTGACGCATAGTTTAAAACGAAAAGTAAAAATGTATAACTCCCAACTATTTAAAAATTCAAGTTGGAGCAAGCACAAGCACGGCTTCTGATCCCAATCCCAAACCTCACTTGAATCAATCCAACCACTCCCATGTTGCAGGAAACCAACACTTAATTCCAGGATATTTCACCCATTGGGACTGATTTACTATGTCCTGTTTGTGTATGATGGCGTATCAATCATGTGTGGGAAAATATATCATATTCTATTGGTATTTACTATAAGTTTGAAATAAGGGTAGATAAACCCACGGGTTACAGTGTACACAGTAAACGCACTGGCATGTTAAAATAAAAAATTTATTTTCTCCAATGGTTTTGGGTCTATCTGAACACTATTATACATTTAACAAAGATATTTGTATCTGATACATAAAGTGAGTGCTGATATAATTAAAGTCAGCTGTAAAAAAAAACCCTGTTTGTATAGAAAAGCAGCAGTGCACACTGCATGTACATGTATGAATGCTGTGGCCATACTGCTGCTGCCACCTTTGAACAGGTTTCCAATGACAAATAGATATGCCCCATTTTTTGCTCTGACAGCACAGTCTAGAGGCATTTTTTGCATCCTAACCTTCCTTGCTACATGTGAATTTCATTGCTTAGCCAGCCAGTAACAATAGCTTTTATTTTTGTTTTAATTTTTTTAAGGCAAAATGTTGTCATGTGCATGCCTTGGAGCACATTTTTGAAACAGAAGGCACAAAATCAGCATTTTTAGCATGTTCAACAAACACAGCAAACTAGGACCATGCCGCGCACATTGATAATTAATGTACAATCAGTTACATAGATTTAGGGATTGCAAACACTGTTCGTGTGGATATCTGAATGTTCATGCAAGCCTACCATAGCATTTATGCAAACTGTTGTGGACATTTTACTATATAGAATTATGTGGACATTTTATTCTAGGATGGGTGTGTGTGTTTTATAGATTGTCACCTGTCTCCCTGTGTCAGATTTAACCGAGGAGCGCTCTAGCAGAGCGCACTTGGGTTGAATCGGGACCAGCGGTAAAACCGTCAGTATGAAAACCTTCTCATGGGCTTAGAGACGTGTTCGCAGTGTGTGTGGGCGTTTGCCGGTTTGTGAGCAGTAAGTGCATTGCGCTGGGCGTCTTGCCTTCAAACGTCTATGCAACATAGCGAAGCGAAGTCCGCATAACGAGAGATACATATTATATTTCTGTTGCGGCAGCGCTATCCCTTTTCGGATACATATCTGCTTTTACGAGAAGACATTGATATCTGCCTTGTTGGTGTACTGGTACCGTACATTGACAATAGCATTAGCAATGTCCCCGCAGATAGTCTCAAACCTGTACGAACAATCAGAATGATCTTACTAGATACTGGTCACTCTGAGCAGTATTGAATAGGGCCAATGCTGGCTAAGATGGCGGATGTGCATACATGTGGCTGATTGGGGCAATGAACATGACTCAGCACATCATAGTCCTTTGTTTAACACAAGTGAGTCATGTGCATTTCTCTGCTCATTCACGTGGGTGCCCTCCCCTTTTCTGTTGTCACTTCCTGTGATGTCATTGTGCATGGAGGAAATGGTAGGCTGTTGGGGCCGCCCTTTCCTGTTGTTACCCCTTTGTTGCCTTATAAATAAACAGAGCTACTGTGCTAGTGAGGACTTGAACACAGAAACTCCAGCTTGAAGCAACACCTTGTCTTGACTCTACATGGCACTACAGAAGTACTTCCGCTCCTTGTACGAAAGAGCTTAATACAACGTGCTTTTGAGCGCAACGGAATTGTTTGTGCTTGGCGCACTTTGATGCTGAAAGTGCACCTTTTAGCATGGTGTGGATTTGTGCGCTCAGCCCAAACGAATTTCCATAACAAAGCATACCATAATCATATCTTATACTACTGCAAGCATACCAAAAAACTTCATCCCTGCTCTTGTTAATTTCCTTTCGTAAGCCTATCTGTGTGAAAAATTTTAAATGGCCAAAATTAGAGAGAATATATAAATGAAAAAATACTTTTTGAAGGTAGCCTCCAAAGTGGAGCATATTCGAAAATGCCTTCTTTTTCTTGACATCTTCTTCTGCTCTTTTCCGATTTTCCTCGTCTTCCTTCCGAGCACGTTCTTCCTAGAAAATGTTTTTTTTGGAAAATTGAATCTTTTGAATGGAATAAAATAAATAATCTGTGCCAGTCAAAAATTTAATTTTGCAAATTAAATATTATGTTAGAAATAACAATCATTTGGGTTTTCCTCACTTTTCATTAGAGTGGGGAAAGATAAGAACTTTTGAAATATTTTATATCTGTCTGTGTCACTCTGTTCCGGCAATGTCTGTTCCCCTATATTCTCTTCTGGTATCATGAGAGCAAAAAGTAAGTCCAAATCTTCCCAGTGTAACACATACAGAAATGAAAACCTGAAAAAACTTCTAAGGGGGTTATTCACAAAGCTGCCATAGGCAGCCGAGTGAATAACCGACCCGAAGTGAAGTGAGCCAAACGCTGTTTGGCTATTCACTTCAGGCATGTATGGCTGATTTCAGCCGTAGACCGACTAAAATCAGCCATACATCGGCTTGCTGTGGCTGGCTTCGGGTCGGCCAAACATGCGAAGTGCAGAAGGAGTTCGACTAAGATTGGATTGGCTGAGCCGAACCTCTGGCAGGCTACTCGCTGCTGTTCGGCCTATTCTCATAGATGCCAAACAGCAGTGAGTGAATAGCCGAATGCCGCCGGCTCCGCTATTCTGCTCGGTACCTTCGGTGGTACCGAGCAGAATAGAAAAACAGTTAAAAAAAGTAGAAGAAAAATAGAAAATGATTGGGCAGAGCTAGCAGTGTCAGCTAGATCCCCCCAACTGTTTTCTATTGGCCAGGACCAGCTGCCATTACAAAGAAAGCTTGTCAGGGACCGAGGTGATATGAAAGCCGGCTCTGCTAAGCTCTCATCCAAATCAGGGACGCTGATCAGTCATTACACTGAGAACCCGGCGGTTCTGCTACCGTCAGAATAAAAAAATCAGCATAGGAATGCATAGCTACATTTCTATTGACTATTTCAATTTGCAATATCCAATAGCAAGCTGGCGATTGTACCCGCCTTCTGCTGCTGTCAATCACTAGAAGGGGACCTGATGGAGAAGTTCAGGTCCTCTCTGCTGATTGACAGTAGCAGTGGGCGGGTGCAATAGCTAGTTTGCTATTGGCTATTGCAAATTGAAATAGCTAATAGGAATGTAGCTATGCATTCCTATGCTGTTTCTTTTCTGACTGACGGCGGCCAGCGGCTCCGATGTCAGAAGAAAAAAAAGCAACAGAGCAGGGAAAGGTTTACTCTGCTCGCTCGATGTTTCATAATTTGCTGGCCACTGGGAAATACATTTCACAGTATTTATTAATATTACTGTATTTTCTACAGATTAAAAATTAAAGTTTTGCCACATGAAAGTCCTGTTTGCCAAATGAAAGTCCTGTTTTAACAAAATAAATTGTAATTGTTATAATATCTCCTTTTGGAAACTGATGACATAATGAGTGATGGGTGGGCAAGTCATCTGTGCCAACTCCTTTCTTATTATAAATGCAGCATTATTGACATTTACTCCACAGTTGAAGTGAGTGAAGTTTCAGTGAAGTCCAACAAAGCAAAATGTTTTCAATGGATCTTAATAAATGAAACGCCCAAGAGCGGTAATCTTTATGGTTAGAATAAACAGCACCTTCCCGTTATTTATTAATGTTATTGAAAAAATAATGTTAAAGGGTAACTATGGTCAAAAACTGAAAATAGATATGTATACCTATATTAAATTTCCATACATTTTATCCCACTCCTACTAACCATATCGATCTAGAAGTTTGTAAACTTACTTATTGAAGATGCCCATAAGATGTATTACCTCAATGCACTGATAGTCTCATCAGTCCTGTCAATATGCACTTCCTTGTGCCACAACTCACAGAGCCAGCCTTCTGAACTCAGTATCTGAACTTCCCACAATGTAACATCATCATTGCTTGTTGGAAGCAATGGCTAAAGGAATATGTACTCTTGAGAAATTGAGATTGAATCCCAACAAGTAGCAGTGGAAGAGATGCAAAGCACACTGGGAATCCAATAAGTTGTTGAAATTGATGAGCATTCAGAAGGCATCACTCACTACATAAAAGGGATTTTTTTTCAATTAAGCATGGATTTAATTATCAAAAACAACTCCAGTATGTATTCCTATTACAATGCTGATGTTATAACAGGATAGTATATGCTGGGACTTTACAACTCCTTTAATCTATTTCTTTTGTTAAAAAGTAAAATCAGTTATTAATCTTGGCATACTCACAGCTACTCTGGCCTGCCTTTCCTTCTCTCTCTCTGTTCGAATCCTTAACTGTTCTGCTCGTTCTGCTCTTCTTTTTTCCTAAAATGTGAATAGTAAAAGTCAGAAATGTACATATAGGATCCTTCCACAAACATTCTCATATGCATTTAATCTCTCTGCTGCCCCAAGGCTGGGTTCCTCCATGTGCCCCCCTCCCTGCCACCCCTCCCCAAATGGAGAATGGCAACCAGATGGCAAGGGCGGCAGGGTTGGTTTTAATTTTTTTGTTTATTTATTCATTTTTTTTACTTTTTTTATTTTTTTTAATTTTGAATCTGTCACCTCCAATACAGGAGTAGCACAGCACTGTGCTGACTTTTCTGTGACAGCTGGGATGGGAAGGCTGCGAGTGCAGCTCTTCCGCCTCAGTGTTTACACGGAGCAGAGCGGAGAACAGACGTTTTCTGCTCTGCTTTCCACTCTCCATCCTGAAGTGATTGCCATGGTCCCGGGTCCCCCAGAAGAGCGGGGGAACCCCGAAAACCACGGCAGGGA